AAGGCATTCTGTGACTCTGTGAAGCTCCCCTCCAACCCAAATGATTCTGTGATCCTATGAATGTCCCTTGCAACCCAAACCATTCTGTGACTCCATGAAGGTCCCTTCCAACCCAACCCAAATGATTCAGTGATCCTATGAAGGTCCCTTTCAACCTAAACAATTCTATTACTCCATGAAACGTCCCTTCCAACTCAACCCAAATGATTCTATGATCCTATGAAATTCCCTTCCAACCCTGTGCAGATCCCTGCCAACCCAAGGTATTTTGTGATCCCATGAAGTTCACCTCCAACCCAAACGATTCTGTGATCCTATGAAGATCCCTTCCAACCCAAAACGATTCAATGATCCTATGAAGGTCCCTTGCAACCCAAACCATTCTGTGACTCCATGAAGGTCCCTTCCAACTCAACCCAAATGATTCACTGATCCTATGAAGCTCCACTCCAACCCAAGTGATTCTGTGATCCTATGAAGGTCCCTTGCAACCCAAACCATTCTATTACTCCATGAAGGTCCCAACCCAACCCAAATGATTCTGTGATCCTATGAAGTTCCTCTCCAACCCAAATGATTCTATGATCCTATGAAGCTCCTCTCCAACCCAAATGATTCTGTGATCCTATGAAGGTCCCCTCCAACCCAAATGATTCTATGATCCTATGAAGGTTCCTTGCAACCCAAACCATTCTGTGACTCCATGAAGGTCACTTCAAACTCAACCCAAATGATTCTATTACTCTATGAAGCTCCCCTCCAGCCCAAATGATTCAATGATCCTATGAAGCTCCCCTCCAACCCAAATGATTCTGTGATCCTATGAAGGTCCCTTTCAACCTAAACCATTCTATTACTCCATGAAAAGTCCCTTCCAACTCAACCCAAATGATTCTATGATCCTATGAAGTTCCCTTCCAACCCTGTGCAGATCCCTACCAACCCAAGGTATTTTGTGATCCCATGAAGCTCCCCTCTGACCCAAATGATTCTGGGATCCTATGAAGGTCCCTTGCAACCCAAACCATTCTATTACTCCATGAAAAGTCCCTTCCAACTCAACCCAAATGATTCTGTGATCCCATGAAGCTCCCCTCCAACCCAAATGATTCAATGATCCTATGAAGATCCCTTCCAACCCAACCCAAATGATTCTGTGATCCCATGAAGCTCCCCTCCAACCCAAATGATTCTGCAATCCTATGAAGGTTCCCCTCCAACCCAAACCACACTATTAGGGTTGGAGCCTGGGGCTCCTGGCCCGCTCCTTATTTGTGGGTCCAAGATGATCGACTCACCCTCACAGCACTGAACAACATCAGCCCCGAGCCGAGGAGGATTCTGGGGGGCGAGGTGGGTTGCAGAGCTGCATCCTGCAGCTCACCAGTCCCTGCCCCCCATAGCTGCAGGAGGATGAGCTGCGTGACGCCGTGCTGCTGGTGTTTGCCAACAAGCAGGACATGCCCAACGCCATGGCGGTGAGCGAGCTGACCGACAAGCTGGGGCTGCAGGCACTGCGCAGCCGGACCGTGAGTGCTGTGGGGTGGGAGGTGGTGGGGGGGCCTGGGTGGGTGTGAAGGGAAAAGCAAGGAGCTCCCGGAAGCAGACGGGTGGGAGGATGCTTGCAGCTCACGCCGTAGGTCGCTCCGGAAGTAATGCCTCCTGGTTATTTCCGTGGAAGCTGCGAGAGGAGCGCGGTAGCACTGTTTGGTAGAGCAAGTGCTCAGCTACAGAGCGAAGTTTTCAGCAGTCATTTCCATTTCACCGGTGGTGATCAAGAGCCTGTGTGCTGTGCTCATGCAAGTCTACACCAGCTGAGGTGACTGGCTGTTACAAAGAAGCTGTGACCACATCGCTGTTAGATCGGAAGGGCTCTGAGTACCTGATGTAGTTGTAGGTGCTGCTGTTCATTGCGAGATGTGGGACCAGATGGCCTCTGAAGGTCCCTTCCAACTCAACCCATTCCATGATCCTATGAAAGTCCCCTCCAACTCAACCCATTCAATGATCCTATGAAGCTCCCATCCAACCCAAATGGTTCTGTGATCCTATGAAGATCCTTTCCAACTCAATCCATTCCATGATCCTATGAAAGTCCCCTCCAACTCAGCCCATTTCATGATCCTATGAAGGTCTCATCCAACCCAAATGGTTCTGTGATCCTAAGGTCCTTTCCAACTTAATCCATTCCATGATCCTATGGAGGTCCCCTCCAACTCAACCCATTTCATGATCCTATGAAGGTCCCATCCATCCCAAATGATTCTGTGATCCTGTGAAGGTTCTTTAACCCAAATCATATTGTTATTCTATGAAGATGCCTTCCAACTCAACCCATTCCATGATCCTATGGAGGTCCCTTCCAACTCAACCCTTCTCTTATCTTATGAAAGTCCCTTCCAACTCAGCCCATTTCATGATCCAGTGAAGATCCCATCCAACCCAGATGGTTCTGTGTTGCTATGAAGGTCCTTTCCAACTCAACCCATTCCATGATCCTATGAAGGTCTCATCCAACCCGAATGATTCTGCGATCCTATGAAGGTCCAAACCATATTGTTATTCTATCAAGGTCCCTTCCAACTCAACACATTCCATGATCCTATGAAAGTCCCCTCCAATTCAGCCCATTCCGTGACCCTCTGATGCTCCCATCCAACCCAAATGGTTCTGTGATCCTATGAAGATCCTTTCCAACTTAATCCATTCCATGATCCTATGAAAGTCCCCTCCAACTCAACCCATTCCACAATCCTATGAAGATCCCACCCAACCCAAATGGCTCTGTGATCCTATGAAGGTCCCTTCCAACGCAACCCATTCCGTGAACCTGTGAAGATCCCTTCCAACTCAACCCATTTCATGATCCTATGAAGGTCCCATCCAACCCAAATGATTCTGTGATCCTGTGAAGGTCCTTTCCAACCCAAACCATATTGTTATTCTATCAAGGTCCCTTCCAACTCAACCCATTCCGTGAAATGGGGTCATGGTTGGACTCAGAGATTGTAGAAGTCTTCTCCAGCCTTAATGACTCTGTGACCCTATAAGAAGGGGGGGATGGGTATGGGATGATGGGGATGGGTTGGTGGTTGGACTTGATCGTAGAGGTCTTCTCCAACCTGAATGATTCTGTGGACCTATAAGAGGGGGTGATGGGGATGGGATGGTGGGGATGGGTTGGTGGCTGGAATTGATTATAGAGGTCTTCTCCAACCTTAATGACTCTGTGATCCTATAAGTGGAAATGGGGTCATGGTTGGACTCAGTGATCGTAGAGCTCTTCTCCAACCTTAATGACTGTGACCCTATAAGAGGGGGTGATGGGGATGGGATGGTGGGGATGAGTTGGTGGTTGGAATTGATTATAGAGGTCTTCTCCAACCTTAATTACTCTGTGATCCCACAAGAGGGGGTGATGGGGATGGGATGGTGGGGATGGGATGGTGGTTGGACTTGATCGTAGAGCTCTTCTCCAACCTTAATGATTCTGTGACCCTATAAGAGGAGGTGATGGGGATGGGATGATGGGGATGGGTTGGTGGTTGGACTTGATTGTAGAGCTCTTCTCCAACCTTAATGATTCTGTGATCCTATAAGAGGAGGTGATGGGGGTGGGATGATGGTTGGACTCAGTGATCGTAGAGCTCTTCTCCAACCTTAATGTCTGTGACCCTATAAGAAGGGGGGGATGGGTATGGGATGATGGGGATGGGTTGGTTGGTGGTTGGACTTGATCGTAGAGGTCTTCTCCAGCCTTAATGACTCTGTCATCCTATAAGTGGAAATGGGATGATGGTTGGACTCAGTGATCGTAGAGCTCTTCTCCAACCTTTATGACTCTGTGATCCCGCAAGAGGGGTGGTGGGGATGGGATGTTCCTATGGCTGGGGATGGTTGGGTTGGGTCAACCGTTGGACTTGATTTTCAAGGTCTTTTCCAACCTTTATGACTGTGATCCTGCAAGAGGGATGGTGGGGATGGGATGATCCTATGGCTGGGGATGGTTGCGTTGGATCAACTGTTGGACTTGATGCTTTTTGAGGTCTTCTCCAACCTCAACGACTCTGTGATCCTCCGATCCCACGCGCCGGGGTTGGGCTGGTGGTTGGACGCGATGAAAGCAGAGCTGTTTTCCAACCCTAACCATCCCACCCTTGTCCTCTCCCTCCTGTCCCACAGTGGTACGTGCAGGCGACGTGTGCCACGCAGGGCACGGGGCTGTACGACGGGCTGGACTGGCTGTCCCACGAGCTCTCCAAGCGCTAAGAGGAGCCGGGACGTCCCCTCCAACTGCTGTCCTTCGGTTCTCTTTCTTTTCCACCCTTATTTTTCAAGTGGGGAGGGGGGATGTTTTTCTTTCCCCCTCCCCTTACCTCCAGCTGTGGCCTCGTCTCCGTGTGTTTCTTGGATAGGACTTGGACCTCACCGACCCACAGCTCCGGTTGGGACGGAACCCCACTTTTTATCCACCACAAATGAATGGGGAATGGGAGCTTAATAAAGTGCTGCCTGCACCGTGCCGGGCTGCAGAGGAGGTGGGCAGAGCTCTGCAGTGCTTTTGTCCTCCCCGAGTTGTCCTGCAGCATCAATGCTGCCCAGGGAGAGGTTTGGGATTGTGGGGTTGGCTCTGGGGTGTGCGCTGTAGGAGAGCTAATTGGGCTGCAATTAGTGGGACTGCATGAAGCCTGATGGAAAGAGCCTGCCCAGCACTGGAAGAGAATGAGTGCTGGGGGGGCGCTGGCTATCAATGTGGGGTGCTGGCTGTACCTATGGGGTGCTGGATGGCCCTGTTGGGTGCTGGTATCCCTATGGGGTGCTGGCTGGCCCTGTTGGGTGCTGGTATCCCTATGGGGTTCTGGCTGTCCTTGTAGGGTGCTGGCTATCCTTGTGGAGTGCTGCTGTCTTCGTTGGGTGCTGGCTATCCCTATGGGGTTCTGGCTGTCCCTGTGGGGTTCTGGCTGTCCCTATGAGGTGCTGGCTGTCATTGTGGGGTGCTGCTGTCACTG